GGTTTCACAAGTGCAGAAAGCACAAGACTCGTTCGTACGTTTGGTATATGCTGCAAAGTAAGGTAGTGACCTTCATAGCCATAGAGCTGCTCTTGTGTGCTGCTTTCATGAATTTATTTGTAGACTCTGTAACTTTGTACTTTCCTTAATATAGAAATTTAAAAAAGAAGATCTCTTTTACATCAATATGACTGGTTTGTATTATTTCATGCTTGGCTGTGGAAGGGAGCACTGATCTGTTGTTTGGAATGTCACTGACTTCACACATTGTTTATGAAACTACTGGCTGTGTAGAATGAGATCTGTTTTGACTTGGCTGTCAGTAGCTACTGCCATGCCAGACTTCATGCTTGTGAGATCCTGTTACGGCATCACTTCGTTAAGGTATTAATTGATTGACATTTTGCTGTTGTATTTGTTTAGGACTTCGATTTCTGTCCTGAAGATGTAATGGTGTGGAAAGAACTGATGAAAGTGTACAGTTAATACAAATTACATTTCAGCTTCATTATTTTAAATAGCTTCAATTATCCACATTGAAATTATTGTTTCACAAACATGGAATCAGGAAACTGAATGTAAATGTGAACCAAAGCAATTATATGTGCTTCATTTTAACTGTGTGTCCATTTACTTCCTGTGTTTCTATCCAGATATTGACAATCTAGTCACCAAAACCTGTGCTTAAAATACTCCACTGTTGATTGGAAATACAAGTCTGGATAGTTTTGTTTTGTAAAATAATTTCAAATCGATGCTGATTTTAATTAATCTCATTTATCTTTCTTGTACCAAAGGTAATTTTCCCATGATCAGTGATGACTTGGTCAATTCCTATCATCTCTTGTTATGTGCTTTGGATCTAGTGTATGGAAATGCTCTCCAGTGCCCTAACCATAAAGAACTTCTGAATCCCAATTTTAAAGGTATGTTGGAAAAAAAAAGAAGTCTTTATCTAAAATCTGCATGAACTTCTAAGGCAGTCGAAATGGATATGGAGATATGTAGTAGAGGGAATTATTTTCTCTGACTATGCAGTTTTATTTCTACCAGCGTGACATAGGAACACAGAATTGAGCTCTATAACTAGAATACTAAGTCAAGATCTCAGTGAACTATGGAAATACCACTGAAGGACTTCCAGAGGAGACGTTTTGTTAATGATATGTTAATGGCAGTGAAACTGTGTAATGACCCAGTCGTTGTGGGACAGGTCACATTGTAGAGATCCCAGGCAGCAGTTTGGGAAGATCCTGTGCTCAGATACAAAGCAGGCACCCTGACTGTTTCTCTCTCCCTTTTGGGTTGTGCCTTATGAAAAGAATGGAAGCACAGGCTGACTTGGTAACTGAACACATGAGTGGATGGTGAGAAGCTTCCTCTGAACCTGGGCGTAACTCTTTCAATGCTTTTTTTCATTTTCAGTATCCTGTAGTATTCACTATCTTGTGGTGGCTTGGATGTGAGCAGGGACCATTATCTCCAACTTATTTGAATAAATACTACCACTCATAAGTGCTTCATCATTTTTCTGCTAGAACTGATATTTTCTGTCACCGAATATCTCAGCTTTTTAGGTTTGTCACTTGAAAGGCAGTTTTGATAAGATGATCCCATTGAGGGCACACTGTGTTTCTTTCAAGGACACAAACTTCATGTTTTAATTTCAGACTGCCTAGGCCACATAGCAAAGAGTTTGAGTTTAGTAAGGTATGAATATAAGAAATTAAACATGACTCTATTTGTAATTATAGGTCTGCCTGAAGACTTTCATAGTAAGGACTATAAAGCATCATCTGATCCTCCCTGCATCATTGAAAAGCTGTGTTCATTGCATTACGGATTGGTTTTAGAAGCAAAAGGCATAAAGGAGCATTTTTGGAAGCCATACATTCGGAAACTTTTTGACAAGAAGGTTGGTCAGTGCATTCAGGATGCAGAAAAATGTTTCCCTCCTTATTATCTTCAGAACTTTAACAACTGAAATGTCCTCTCTTTGCTCTTACAGCTTTTAAAAGGAAAAGATGAAAATCTGACTGGATTTCTAGATCCTGGAAACTTTGGAGATAGCTTGTGAGTCAGCTTGTGCTTTGGTCTGCATCTGTATCCCTTTGGGTTATTACCTCTGTCTTACCACTATTACTTTATATACGTATTGCTGTTCATATATTATACTAAAAGGTGTTTCAGCTATTTGGTGGCTGAGGCATTTTCAATATAGCATTGCTTAATGTCTGCTTCTGTTTATGTTTCCATGTTTTTTTCTATGTAATGTAAAGTGTTTGGAAGAAAAGGCTGTGGGGCACACTGAGTGGGGGCAGGGAGGAGGGAAGAACCAAGTGTGGTAATGTTTCATGCTTTTTAAACCTAGAGGTACTGTGCTGTGCATTTAAATGGTACAGAAATGGCAATGTGATGCTGCGTAAGTTCTGAGGAGTTTCCATCCAAATGCCACCAGTTCTCTGCATTGTAGTGCATTCCTCCTGTTGCCATATGAAATGATAGGCCATCAATTACAAAGGTAGAATAATGCCACTGTCATGTTTAAGGTATTGTAGGTTTTAACTGAGGCTAAAGTTCGTTCTGAGGCAGCCTTCTGACAGGGCAGAGGTGTGTTCAGTCAGAAAGCAGGTAAAGAAAGCACTGTCTAATTAAAGGGGTTTTCTCTCTCTTTTCCTCTATAGCAAAGCCATCAACAAGGCCTATGAGGAGTATGTCTTGTCAGTAGGAAATCTCGATGAGCGAATATTTCTCGGGGAAGATGCAGATGAAGAAATTGGAACTCTCACACGGTGCTTAAATACACCCTCAGGAGTGGAAACAGCTGAGCGAGTACAAGTGAAGCATAATTTACAGCAACACTTTGACAGAGTGAGTCTGGCACGGTCCCTTGCTGGTTTTGTGGAGAAGGAGTTGTCCAGTTCTGGTGTTTCAGTGTGAGGTCATTTTGTCACTGCTCAGACACTTCTACATGAGTATTTGACACCAACATCCAGGTGACAAATAGACCTGTGGCTGCTGGCTGTTACTGAGAGTGAACTGGTTTGGGTTGTTTGATTCCTGCTCCCTTTTCCCAGATATATATTATAACCAGTTAAGAAACAATGCTAGCACCTGCCACCTCTGGGTCTCTCAGAAGCTCTACGTTTTGTAATAATGTACAGACAGAAGCTTTTTTTTTCCTTTTTAGTCTAAATCGCTTCGGATGACGACCCCCCTCACTGGCCGCAGGTACGTGAAGGAGAGCAACCCCTATGTGACACCTGTTTCCATCGCGACCTACAGCTTGAGCCGCCTTCACACCATGCTGGCAGGGCTGAAAAATGCCCCCAGTGAAAATCTGGAGCAAATCTTCAGGTAAGCTTGATGCGTAGCTAACAAAAAAACTCATTTAAAGGTGAAATTGTAATAACAAATGTTATTGTTAAATAGTGTGATTTAAGTTCTGGAAGTTTGAAGTGAAATAGGAGCCAGAGGGACATTTAACTTCAGAGAGACTCTTGTCTTTATTTCTACACAATCCTTGAGAGATTGACAGCTGTAAGAACACACAGCGTTCTCAACCCAACATTCTGAGCTTCCCTAACAGCAAAATGCAAATGCAACTGTTTCAAGATTTTTCTTATTAATTAGCCAGCTTCACTACCTGGCAACTCACTCTATTCTGTAGGAGATCAAAAATAATTTCTTTTTCTCCGTGTACAGAAGTCTTTGGCTCAGGTACAGTATGTTACAAAGCACTTGTTATATTGCATGGAATGTGTTTAGTATTGAACTCTTAAGAAGAGTTGACACTCACTAAAGTATAATATGCTGTGGCTGTCTTGTAGTGCATGTGCAGCAAGGCTTGTGTGGGTGTGTTTGCGTCGCTATCTATCAAAGATATTTCGCAGCTTCATGCTTTAATTGTATTGTAGGTCTTTTTGTTGTTGGTTTCTTTTGTGTGTGTGTGTGTGTGTATTTGTCTTAGCAGAAGTAGGACGCTGAAATAGCTTGTATTTTCAGGGCATGTTCCAGAGATCCTTCACAATCTATTGCAAGCAGAGTAAAAGAGATGTGTGAAGTATACTGCCAGAGCATGCAGTCTGAAGAAGAATTCAGTAATTTGACCAAAGGTGGGAAACATTTTACTTACATAAATTGGAATTTATGTGCATTTAAAAATACTGATCTCTTCTAAGTAAACTTTGTCTTATGTAGACACTGTGCTTTTGCACAAGAGTCTTTTCTATTTCTTGTCTTTTCCTGCTAGTCTTCAGATAGAGCAACTTTCAACCCTGTATAAACTTTCATAATCATACTTGGCATAAATTACTGGAATTTGATATTCTTATGTTCTACAGAAGGGAGGAAAGAAAAGCACTCAGAACTGTTTTTCTTCTCTCAAATCTAAGCGTGCATTTCTGTCAAAAAAAGTGATTAAAATTTTTTAAGAATAGGTGCTTTGTACTTTGTATCTGTGCTCATCAACACAGTTGTTCACTTTGTCTTGCAGAGTGCTTGGATCCCCACAGAGGTTTTTCCAAACACTGTGTTTTCTGATCTTGAAATACTTTTTATTTTAGCAGTAATAAGGGTTGTTCTTACACATGGTGTTTTTTTTACCAAGTTCTGAGTTCAGTACTAAGCTGCTGTGCTCTGCAATCAAGCTTCAGTGCAGTAGAGAGATTCCATGGCTAACATTAACCCTTAAACATGAGTCCCGTTAGTCCTGAAAGCAGCGTAGCCACAGCTGCACAGAAATCCACACAAGTAAATAAGCTGTTGTTTTAACTCTGTAGATTATGATAAATAATGATTCTTTTATCACAATTCACAATATTATTTCTGTTTAAAATTCCTGCAGATGTGGCCAGCAAGCATTTTCGTCGTGCTGAGGTTCTCTACTACAAGGTTTTGGAGTTGGTCATTGAGCAAGAGAGGAGGAGACTGGGAGACGCAGACTTATCTGTAAGGACAACTCCTCCAATTGCACCTTGTGTTTAAAGTTGGATCTGCAACAAAGAAAATATTTATAGGACAGGATAATGCTATTTTAGATGAGTAAATCTCTTGAGTTGTTGGAAGGCATTCCTGAATGGAAGAAAAGCTGTCCAAGAAATTATTCACCTTTGCGAACAAAAAGGATATATAAAATTTACAAAGAATAAGGATGTTTTAATTTGGATTCTGTTCCATCATGTACAAAAGCAAATGTCTAGTTAAAAACTTTCTAATCTCACTGTTGAGGCAGAACAGAAAGCATCATGCAGTTCTGTTGTTACACTGTAAATGAAGCATTAAATTGGGCAACTCTCTTGCAGGCAGTACTGGAGCAAGATGTGTTTCATCGCTCCCTGCTGGCGTGCTGCCTTGAGATTGTCACCTTCACGTACAAGTTACCTGGAAGCTTTCCCTTCATCACTGAAATATTTGACATTCCAGTTTATCACTTCTATAAGGTAAAGTAATAGCTAGAAATGTTGATCAAGTCCTGTGTACTCTTGGCTTATATTAAATAATCTCTTTACCTAAATGTGTATTAACTCTTCATTCTTAGCATTGCCCCTTTTTGTCTTGAAAGTATTTTACAGCTGGTTTGGGCATTTAAAGATCAGACTACTGGTAATCAGTTTAACATAGGAGCAGTGTGCAAGTGACTAAGGATTGTCATTTATCTTGAGCTAGTGACCAGGGATCCTGAGCTGCTGCTGCAGCTGTTCTGCATTCACTGCTGCTGTGGGAAGATACATGTACCTGTCTTCTGATAAACTTGCAGCCCACCAGACAATTGAACCATACTGACACAGTCTAATAATTGTACTAGTCTCTTCCTTGAAAATTTAGGATCTAATTTCACTGTAAGAAGAAATATATGAAAACAAGAATATTATACTCAGTCACTGGTTTATTCAGTACCACAAGGACTTCATTGCTCTCTGCATTACAGGTAATTGAGGTTTTCATTAGAGCAGAAGACGGCCTTTGTCGGGAAGTTGTAAAACACCTTAATCATATTGAAGAACAGATCTTGGAAAGCATGGCCTGGAAACAGGAGTCCATATTGTGGGACAGAATCAGAGATAACGACAACAGAGTTCCTAGCTGTGAAGAGGTGAGCATGTCTCTGTACCCCTAACATGTCTGTTCAAACAGAATGGTGGAGAGTGGACATCAGCATTGTATGCGCAGAGTTCAGTTTCTCCCTACAAGCTAAGCGGGGCAGAGAAAGAGCTGCATGTGTTTGTGTGTGACCTGTTACCACTGCAGAGATGTCCAAACGCAGGCATCCAGCTGATGTGATTCTCGCCCCGTATTTGCTTAGAGTAGGAGCACAGTGAATAATGAACACAGAGGAGGTATGAAACAGTCACACTTGAGAAGACTGCTACAGGAGTCTGGTTAAGAACAGACTCTTAATTACAGTCACAGAATGATTATTGCAGGATTGTATTTTCTAGAGTAGTACAATCATTACGAAGTTTTCAAGTTAAGTTTACAGTAATTTTTCAATGTTCTTCATTTTTCTTTTCCTCCATATAGTTTCACTGTTCAACATTTATAGACTGGTGGTTCTAAAAATCATTTGTGCCACAGACACACTAATAAAAGTACAACTATTTCAGGTCATGCCACCTCAGTATTTTGAGAGATCTGCTGCCAACAGTGTTGTGGGTTCTCCACTGACACCAAGACGACTAAACGAGGTCCGAGCTGAAACCGGAGGCCTGGGAAAAGGTGAGCTGTTTTTTAAGTACAGTGTATTTATCACTCTTACACCGTGCCCTGAATTTACAAATCTGAAGGGCGTACAGAAGGAAGCTGCTCTAGTGGTTTATGTACAATTGTGCATGAATTGTGCACTTGTAAATGCTATTTCTGTTGTAACTTGCATAGTCGCATCAGTTGTCTAAGACAGAAACATTATTTCAGATCAAAACAGTCCCGTGTCACTGGTTTCAGGAGCTTATATCTACAAACGACATCTGTGTACACACATGTATGTGTTTAAATAAGTACATCTGTTCTGATCAGTAGCACCTGAGCAGCTTTTTTGTTACACCAGATTAGAAGCTCCAATGTATGTTTAGTTCTGTGAGGCTTCAGGCTTTTTCTGGGGAACTAAAGCATAATACAGTCTCGAAGGAAAAGATATTCAGCACCGTGTTATTTGAGATCAAGTCATCTCATAATCTGTAAGCCACAGATGTAGACATTAATTTTAAATGCTTCCAATGTGATGAGACATTTGGGGTCTCATCACATTTTTTTAAATCTATTTGTATTATAAGGGATTTTACAATTAGATTTTGTTTTTTTTAAATCCCCAGGCATTTCATCTTCTCCTACTACCCTGTATGACAGATACAGCTCTCCTACAGCCCACCCTACCAGGAGAAGGTTGTTTGTTGATAACGATAATACCTCCGACAACGGAACTCCAGTCAGAGTTTCCCAGCAGCCCGTGGTAAATACGGTGCCTGTGCAGAACGTGAATCCTGAAGCAGTGTCAGTAACTCCAGTGCCTGGCCAGACATTGGTTACAGTAGCAACCGCCACCGTAACAGCCAATAATGGGCAAACTGTGACCATTCCTGTACAAGGTAAGAGAAGAGCTGCTGTCACATGAGGCCAATTTCTATCCAGATGTTAGTATACAGTCAGGGGGTGGGGGGAAAACAGCACACCCAGAGCAGAAAAGCAGGCTTAAGAATTTATAGTGAGGAAGAACTGTATGAATGGATCAGTGGAATTTAGAGACAAGACACAGAGCACAAAGATGTTCACTGACTGTGGATTAGCGACTTGGTTATTGCAGTGACCTTTGCTTCCTCAACTGGAAGAAAGTGACATTACAGTTAAAGATCAGCTCAATTCCGTTATTTTCCTGTCTCCTTATGATAAGAAGTTCCAAGTACTTTCATAATACATTTTGTCTCTATAGTATGCTACAAACTATAAGCAACTAATTTAAGTGTTACTGAACTATTAAGAAAAAGCTCTAACAGGAAACACCATCCACACTAAACAAACCACCCAACCTTGCTCTTATGTCAAACTCTTCCTTAAATTACAGGTATCGCCAATGAAAATGGAGGAATAACTTTCTTCCCAGTGCAGGTAAATGTAGGGGCCCAGCCTCAAGCTGTCTCTGGCTCCATTCAGCCCCTCAGTGCCCAGGCTCTCACGGGCACTCTGAGCACTCAGGTGTCAGGGGCAACGCTGCAGCTCCCAGGACAGGTCACTGTTCAGCACATCACCTCCGGGGAGCCAAGGCCAGCCCAGCACCTCACTGCCACAGCCGCTCGCTCCCGGAAGATGGGCTCGCTTTCCCTCTTCTTTAGAAAGGTACTTTTTAGCCTGCTTAGTTTGTATTTTGGTAGCTCTTCTGTGATGCTGAGATGTTTCCTTACTTCTAATATTAATAAGAGAATATTTAGTTTCCAAGCTAACATGTTTTGTCTGTTCAGATGCATACCTGAAGGGTTGGTTTCCGGTGCAGAAATTTCTCACTGTCAGAGTAGCTGAACAGTACAGCTGTCACTAGCTGAGAAGTAGATTTACAGCTGTGGGTAGCAGCTGCTTAAACGTGTCCATCTTCAAGGCTCTTAAAGAAAGAATTTCACTTTTGAAATATTCTTGTTTATTCAATACAGAGGTTTCTATAGGTGCTGTTTTTGTACTTCAAGAGTATCTTGAAGAAATAATCTGGAGAATTGCAGAATTCAAAAACAAATGCTTTTTTAGCATTAGTACCAGTATAATAGTGTCTGTGTCTTGTAAGCAGAAGAAGATAGTTTCAGTATTTGTCATTAGCTTATCATCTGCACGAGTTTCACAGAGCACACATGTCCAAACTGCGCTCTAACCTGGATAAGAAGCACCGTTGACGCGGTCGCTGCACTGTCTCTCTTCCATCAGGTGTATCATTTAGCAAGTGTTCGTCTGCGGGATCTCTCTGTCAAGCTGGATATATCTGATGAGCTGCGGAAAAAAGTCTGGACGTGTTTTGAGTATTCCCTGATGCACTGCCCTGAAATCATGATGGACAGGCATCTGGATCAGCTGCTGATGTGCGCCATCTACGTAATGGCCAAGGTAAGCTGAACAAAAACACACGTTTTCTAAGGCTTGGTAGTTCAGAGATTGCTCTAACAACCCCAAAAACAACCTCAGCAAACCAAACGGTGGGGGAAGAAAACAACCAAAAGCTACCACAGGAGGTCTAATACTCACTATTCTTAGGTTACAAAGGAAGACAGGTCGTTCCAGAACATTATGCGCTGCTACCGGACACAACCGCAAGCCAAGAGTCACGTAAGTACAGTTAGAAATCTCCTCGTTCCCAAAGCAGAACTAAGGCATTTAATAAATGACATCATCTAATAAATATTAAATGATGCATTCTCAGAGCCACTGTCCTTAAAAATAGCAGTCGCACCCAAATCTTGCACTACTGAAAGCTTTTTCTGTACCTGTAATTTAACTTATCTTCACTTACAACCTCCATCAACAGTACCTACTGGATGACAGGTAGGAAGCTGCCTGCATTTTCCCATATAGAAAACAATGTGATGTCAAACAGTGTTCTAAAAGCAGATGTATGGTGCAGACTGTTGCTTCCAGAATGCGCAGCTGCGCATCACTCACAGGTGCTGTGCTGCTCTTGTCTCCCTGCAGGTGTACAGGAGTGTCCTGATAAAAGGCAGGAGACGCCGCCGCCAGTCTGGCAGCAGTGACAGCAGCAGCCAGCAGAACTCCCCTACAGACAGAAGTAAGGAGAGAAGTAAAGAAAGAAGTGAGTGTTTCCAAATTCCAGATGTTCATTTTTAATCCTGCTCTCAGAACAGTGTAGTTAGGGTACAAGTTGGATTTTGTGTCACCCCCCACACCAAACAGTTCCTTCTTAGGTAAACTTAGCTGCAATTAAGAACGTACCAACAACGTGCAAGAGTTGTTTTGCAAAGTGAAGCTTAGCATTGCACCTGCTGTGACAGTGCAGTTTTGAATCTGTCACTGCGTGTGTTTACCTTAAGTGTACTCCTCAGGTAAGTCTGGACACCAGAGAACATGATGTAGAGTGAAAGTAGCATGTCCACAGCAGTGTCTTTTAATAGTTTAGCAGAGAGGCAGCAGCTGGCTGGCTTCATAGACGAAAACCACCACCAGCCCCTCCCAGCATCTGGTATAGCACATCTCATGTCTCTGGAGTGCGGACAAAGATTCTAGCCTCAATACCTGAATTAACACATTTTTCCTTGACTGAATTTTGCATAAAAAAGCAAGTAAAAGTGAGCATGCATATTCTTACAACCGGCTTTCAAATACTTGACAGTACAACCGTACGTTTTAATGTTTTCTGTCACAGAAAGGGGGCAAGGAGGGGAGGGACAAAAATAACATATTCCACAAATTCCCACATTACAAAGGCAAAAGTACCACCAAGGCAAATATTGCTACCATTTGCCGAAAGAAAGACTGACGTTCCTCAATTGAAGTTGGGCCAGCTGGCAACATGGCAAATTACAGGGGAAATGCCTGAGAAATGGAATTTTAGCTCAGCTTCTGCAGAAAAAAATCAGCTCATGCACTAAGCTGTTAGAAATGAAGTGTTCCTGGAGCAATACTCAGCATTTCGCTGGTCTGCTGTAAGGCAGGGTGCTGAGCAGGATCGCCAGCACTGAGGGCAGGCGCCTGTGCCCTGCTGGGGATTGAGGAGTGTGCGCTTCTCTCCTCAGCCAGCAGAGACTCCAGCCCCGTGATGCGCTCCAGCAGCACCCTGCCTGTGCCCCACCCCAGCAGTGCTCCTCCTACTCCCACCCGCCTGACCGGAGCAAACAGCGATACTGAGGAGGAAGAGCGAGGAGACCTCATACAGTTCTACAACAGCATCTACATTGAGCAGATCAAGGAATTTGCCCTGAAGTACACTTCAAATGGGGTGAGATAGCACTGTGCTTCTGTTAGTAAATAGATCTTATTTTACTGTGCGTGCAGTAGAGTACCCTTAGCTAACCTCATCTTAAGGAAAGCAAGAGTATTCATGACAAAAATTCCAGTTCAAGTATATAATCTGGTGCTGAAAGATTAAACCCTTTTGCTGCCTATTTGTTACTTCCTCTCGCTGAAATACACGGCCCCAATGAATGTCATCCACCAGCCTCAGATAAAAAGTAAAATACTAATATTTCCTAGATGTACAACAAATCCTGCTGTGTCCTAGGGAAGGCTGTGAGAAAAACATCTGAACTGTGCTAAAAATGACCAGCTTACAACAGCCTTACTGTAGATACCTTACCGAGATTACGTAGCAGCTGAGTGTTTTTTTTCCTCCTGAGCAGACGGACTCCCCTCCGCTCTCGCCCTACCCCTTTGTGAGAATTAGCTCTCCTCGCAGAGTACAGCTGACTCAGAACCACCCGGTCTACATCTCACCCCACAAAAACGTGTCTGCTCTCTCTCATCGAGAGAAAATATTCTATTATTTCAGCAGCAGCCCATCTAAGGTAAGACTAAAGGGGGTTAGTTTGGTTTTATAAATCCTGAATTCTGTCATTTACATTGGGACGTGATGGTAGAGAATACTGCACAACACTCCTTCTAGTGTACATTGTTGAAGATGTACTCTGTCACCAGATTGTCTCCAGATTGTCAGTCTACAGATCTAAGAAGCTGGAGAGCAATGAGGTATCCAAGGCACTTGTGTACTTTATAAAGCTGCCCTCTGTAACAGTGCACGTACATCAGTGACACCACAGGATGGGGCGTTTGGCATGGAGACTCAAACATGAACCACAGTCATTCCCTCTTATCTACTTAGTGAGGAAAAATGTCTCTTAGCACAAAAAGACTTACCAAGCGAACATGGAACAGGCTGAATCCTGTCATCTCCAGAAGCAGAAGCCTTCTCCAAGCAGCACCTTCATTCAGGATAGGAATTCTGCACCTATGGTGTAAGATAACATGCCATAACTACAGCTGGAAGGCCTTTCAGCTCCACGTGCACCTGCAGAGCATCAAAAAACTTACACAAAAGGCTTGCTTGAGAAAGACTCTGGAATACAGTAATGGGACCAGCACAATGGTTAAAAGGGTTAGTTTGTTACAGAAAGCTCCAAAACTGAGGCATTTGTAAGCCTAGAGTAATGGGACTAGCAAAAACTGCTTTTTTTGTTGCCACAATAATGAGAATTTTTTCTTTCCACCTCTCCCCAGAGGCTAAAGGAAATTAACAGCATGATTAGAACAGGAGAAACCCCAACCAAGAAGAGAGGCATTCTCTTAGAAGATGATAGTGAAGCACCAGCTAAGAGAATCTGTCAGGAAAACCACACTGCTCTGTTACGCCGACTGCAAGACGTAGCCAACGACCGAGGGTCCCACTGAGCGCAGGGGCTCAGCACAGGTAGGCCCTCTCTGCTGCTGGCAGCTCAGAGCATGCCATGGACTCACAAAGCCGTGCAGGCATCGGGATGCTCCTGCCAGCCCGTGGTGACCAGTCCCTGCTGGGCTGTGCCGAGCCTCTGCTTCCCCAGTGCCAGGGACGGGGAGGATGCGTTCTGAACTCTGCAGCTCCACTCTGCCTGTCGTAAAGCTGGGCGGAAGGCAGGTGACCTACCTGCAGCCTTTGGCTGCACAAGGCAGTTCAAAGCTTTTTATTGCTTGGAGAACGCGTCCCTCGCACAGCTTTCTACCTAGCAGCAGGTATTTGCATCTATTTGCTCAACCAGTCTACTTACAGTGTTTTCATCAATGCTTGACCATTTTCAGCTTTGTGATAGGAAGTTGCATATGTATCAAACATGGGAGCATTGTACCAAGGCGCTCGTAGCCAAACGTGTCGTTCTGGGGGAAAAAAAAAAAAAAAAAAAAAAAGGAAAAAATAAGCATTAATGACTGCCATAAAAATAATCATTTATAAGTGATAGTCTAGCAATGTCCAGCCTTTTCTGCTTGGAAAGGGAAGATAGGAATAAGCTTTTTGAGAGCTGAAGTAAGCTACCTGTATGGATTCTGTATGTATCCGGGATGCTTTGTGTGCCACCAAATCCACCACGCTGTTTTGCTTTAACATCTGGGCACCCTGTTGTATAGAAGTAGCTAACTCCACTTACACACTGTTGTTAGCTGTGCAATGTTTTAAAGTGAACTCATGTTCAAAAGGTGGCACTTTTGATAGGGCTGTGAAGCATTGGTTTTAAGGCAGATTAGTTTTGCTGTATATTTGCAATGGCACTTTCTAAATGTGAATATCTTTTTCAAGGCTGACTTCAGCCATTTTTCTTAATGGAAGCAATCCAATTTTTGTATTTATTTTCAAATTGACATCCCACAGCTCTCCTTCAGCAAACGGCATTAAGAATTCATGCATGCAGTAACAAATGCAGGAGGTCAGGGATGTGGGCTTTGGTCAAGAAATTTTATACGCTTGCGTTGTTTCTTCAGATTGCTCTGCTTGAGAGTCAGGAATCGGCCCTCACTTCCTCAGTAGAAGGAAGGTGGCCTCGATCTCTTAAAGATGCACACTGTGCTTTTGGAGTGGTTTTAAAGGACAGAGGGAGAGGGGTTTGGTTTTTTTAATGGATAGAATCAGGCTGCCTGGGAGAAATCTCTCTCCTGCTAATGGTATAAGAAAGCAATGCATATATTAATTAGATCTACTAATTGTTTTCATTTAAATTAATTCTAAAATACCAACCTTGTTGGTATGCTCAGACCTTTCCTGATAATTAGTGTCCTATGCCAGCTTATTCATCTTTAAGGACAACTGGGGACAATGTTGTTGTTCTTGTAAAATTTAGCACACACAGATGCTAGAAGGTTTTATAAGGAAGCAGAACTTGAAAGCTCAGTGTTCTCATTCATCCCTGCTCCTTTGAATAACAGGAAGATTTAGGACTTAATTCCACAGTAAAATCAGTTAAGGTAGAATAAAAGTGTCTTTTGTTCTTACCTGTGTAAGAAGGCCTGAAGTCAAGCAGTGGTGTAGATGTTCCTGTAAAAATATTTATGAACTTGTCAGACAATTCTTGTTATTCTGTACCATTTACATTAATTTGTATGAAAATATTGCAAGTGTATTTTTCAATAAAGAACTCATAATAAGGCTTGTGTGAAGAAAGCTTCATACGGGCAAAGCTTCCCCCAGTGTGCATCTGTCAAAGGCTGCGCCGACGGCACAGACACCAAAATAGCACGAGGCTGGGTGCTCCCGGGCACACCATGTACTGAATCACAAGCAGCTCAGTCAGACATTAGCACTCAGGGTGTCAGAACAGAGTGATGTTGCATTAACTACTCACTCAAAAAAAAATTATTCTTGCACAGTTAAAGTCGTAGTTTCAAAATGCTTCCTGCTAGCGTAACTTCCATTTCTCTTTCTGAAATATTCTTTACAGAAATCAGAACTGTAAGCATTACATTTCTGAGTGTTTTTAAAATGTGACTTCAGCCAAGTATTGACAGAGACTGCAACATTTTCAGTCCGTTTTTCATGAAATGACTCACAGCTGTAATAGGAAAGATAACAGCTAAGTGCTGGAGAAAAGCATTTGGCACCAAAGTGCAGTTTGGGTGCTGTGTGCCTGCCTTGCTCCTGGAGCAGCTCCTTTTTGAGCATGAACTGCTTACAGGTGATCTGTTATTCTTCTCTTCCCTTTTTCAATCTAAAAAAAAAAGAGATTATGCCATTTCTTAATTTTGAACTAGAAATAAATTCAGCATTCTTTAAATATATACAATTATTTTCTCATAAGTAAACTGCTATTAACATAGGCTTCACTAAGAAATCCAGACTGCCCTCAAAGAAACAAAACTTGCTCAAATAACCATTATTTCAGCTCCTTTCTTGTTACTGCTTTTCCTTTAATTGTGGTCTTTTCTAAACCCCAGCAACAATCAGACAAACAATTGTACCACATCTCTGAATTGATGGGAGATGGTTACAGCTATTCCGTATGGCCATCAATTTCCTGCATGCATTCCCTGTCCAACCCCACGGTAACTTGGTGTTCATACACCATCAGAATTAAGCTTTCCCTGCTGAAATGACAGAGCATCCCACAATTAGAAGGGATTGAATTTCCACGCAAGGCCTTCAGTTAAGCAGCTTAGGAAATCTGTACCCGAATAATGATCAAGGTAACTAAAAAGGAACACTGCAGTTCCATGCTCTGCTTCAGGCTCCCTGCCTCACTGCTCCATTGCATTCAGTCCAAATTCTAGGCCCATTTTTTGTTCCACAGGAGTCCCTGCTTCATTAAATATCATAAATACTGAATGTGAAGCATGCGACTTTCAGCCTTCCCAAGAAAAGAGAACTAAGAGCAGCAGAAGAATGAACATTCACAGTATTAGAGTATCTACTCCACAGGCCAGTACAGTAGAAACCTTCACAGAAACCTTTTCTTGAAACAAAACCATCACTTAGCATGTAATACAGCTCACCTTTCAGATCAGTTACTCCACTCCTGGCTTCCAGTGGAAGTTCCCAAAGGTCGTCTGGTGGTTCCAACACGCCTGGTACTCCCCTGCCCCTTCAGACACAGGCCAGCAGGGCTACTGGAGGAGAAGTCTTAACCATGGTGAGTGACACCAGGATGTCTTTTCCTTCTGCACCAAGATAGAAGGAGTTCAGCCGTTCCTTTCTTAAGTCCAGCGCTGCTTTAAACTCCTCTTCAAGTACACAGTACTCCATTCTAGAGACTTCCCTAGCAGAGAAGCTGCAGGACAGCAGTCGTGCTTCACTGCCTGAACTGATTTGTTAGAAAGGGGCCATGCCACAGCCATGTTGAGGTGACCCAGGAGCTGCACAGGGGACACCACAGCTGCCACCAGCACACACAGCCAGTGCTGCAGTTGGGGCAGGTGCTCAGCCTCCCAGACACAGGATTTTCAGTACAGCTGAAACATCACTATCAGTACAGTTCCCGATAAAAAACCCACCATGCATTTGCAGCCATTAAGGATATTTAAGGCAGCTGTACTGATTTACATGACCAGAGTCCTCTTCACCAAAACAGGAATTCCAGAAGTACAAGAGACATCCCAGCCAGCCCCAGGAAACCACTGCATCTCCAAGGCAGAACCTTCAAAAGCCTCAAAGCAACACACATTAAGACTTTTGTGCCTTAATTCGTACATCCTTAAGTGCTGTGCAGAAACCGCACACATCACCCTTTGGCACTGTGTTAAATTAATCACTTGGGATATGGTAGTATTTCACCTGTGCAGTCATTATACATTTCCTCAAAAGCTAAGAATCTGTTCTTTAAGATAGAAAGGTTGTTCTAGGACACGCAGATTTAGTTTCTGTAATACAAAAGCTACAAACAAACCCAAAAACTTATACCATGACTACATACAAAGTCACCAGACCTTGTTTCTGGTCAGCAGGGTTTGCATTACCCTGCAATACCAAACATACGGATATGAGCATGACTTAAAGAAAAAAGGCCCAACAGTGACAGGCCAGCACCACAAGTTCTGGATTTTAGAGAAATCCTGTTTTGCTGCAATAAGAGCTTATGCTGGATTAGGATATCAGGAGGACTCTCATGCAAAGTAGAAAACTTTGCCCTGAACTCACACCAGCTTCGGAAAGCTTCTCCTAGATGTGGAACAAAACCATTCAACCAGCCTCTTCAACACACAACAGGACACCTACAAACACTTCTGTTGCCAGGCACTTCCAGCCCGGTTCCAGGCTTTACTAGGTGTCTAAAACACAAACAGTTGGACAGATGCAAAGTGATGATTCCATTTTATTTTCTTAAGATGTCACCAGTAACACACATTAGTCAAGCTATTCTATTTAATCCCTACAGCGTAGACACCTAGGGAATCTAAAA